CTCACAGGTGCCCTAGACGACTACATGGATAAGGAAAAAAGAAAACAAAACCTTGTTGTACATAACCTGCCCGAACAAGCCTCTGACTCCCAGGCTGAACGAGCTGCCCATGATGCGGAACTCTTCAAGTCAATGATAAGAGATGAAATGAAGTTGAATGTGAAAGTGCAGAAGTCCTTCAGAGTTGGAAAGAAAGTGGAGAGTAAGGCTAGACTGCTTATAATCACCTTAGAAGAGGCCTCTGCCAAGCATGATATCCTCAAGCTGGCTCCACAGCTTAGGCACTCAAAGAAGTACGTGAACATATATGTGACCCCAGACCTGACTAGGAAAGAAAGAGAAACAAACAAGAAACTAAGAGATGAGCTGAACAGACGCAAAGGTACTGGTGAGACGAATATTGCCATCCGGAGCGGTAAGATAGTCAACCTGAACTCTGTTGCCAAAGCAGGAAGAAAGCAGTCACAGAGTGGAGCTGCCCAGGGACCTGTGGCCCCGGAGCTGGCTGTCGCCTCCGTGGGAGCTGTCAGTGACCACTCTGCTGGTCGTGTGCCCGCAGAGCTGGCTGTCGCTCCCGCGGGGGCTGGCAGTGACCACTCCAATGGGGCTGGAGTTGCGGAGCCGGCCATTGCAGCCCCGGGAGCTGTCAGTGACCACTCCGCTGGACCTGCGGTCGCGGAGCTGGCTGTCGCTCCTGCGGGAACTGCCAGTAACCGCTCTGCACAGACTGCTCAGCTACATGAAAAGAGGCAGACTGGAGTTGCTACCCAAGCTGGTAGGACTGTGGCCGCAGAGCCGGCTGTCGCTCCTGCAGGAGCTGTCAGAGACCGCTCTGCTCAAACTGCCCAGTCATTCAACGGTGGACAGACTCCCATGGGGACTGATGCTGGCAATGGGCAGTCTGCCCAGCAGGACAATTTGGCTAAGGGTGCAGGACACACTGCTACACCTGCTCAAGCCCCTGGGCATGAAGCCCAGAAAAGTATCTTTGCTGAAAATTGACTACATGGAAGGGGCAATGCGCAAAGGAAGACAAGCATGCAGGTTCTCTACACAAACGCAGATCAACTCCCAAACAAAAGAGACGAGCTCTGTATGAAAATAACTGGCAATGAACCAGATCTTATTCTAGTCACAGAGGTAATTCCAAAAGCACAATCAGTTCCCATCAGTAAGGCTGTAATCTCCATTCCTGGCTACACTCTGTACACAAACTTCGATCCCTCTCAACCTGAATTGGGATCCAGTGGTCGCCGAGGAGTAGGCATATATGTAAAGACCTGCCTCCAAGCTTCAGAGATAACTGTCAGCTCAACGACTTACATCGAACAACTATGGTTGTATCTACCTTTGACAAACGATGACAAGCTTCTTATTGGATGCATCTACCGAAGTCCCTCCCAAAATACAAGAGATGTTTCTGATGAACTGTGTCATCTTCTACATGCTGCCTGCTCATCAGGTCACTCACATCTACTAATTGCGGGAGACTTCAATATGCCTCAAATTGACTGGGAAAATAACTTCTCCCCGGCTCCACCCCTGGATATCTCACACAGGTTCCTGGAGGCACTGGATGACTGTTTTCTCAATCAGCAGGTCACCCAACCAACTCGTTTCCGCCCAGGTGAGACTCCCCACCTATTAGATCTCATTGTGACAAATGCGGATGGGATGGTGCAAAACATCCATCACGAAGCTGGACTTGGCAGAAGTGACCATGTCATCCTGAGATTCGATCTGTGTTGTTACACTTACCAGCAAATCGCTCCCGCAGCCCACGCAAACTATTTCAAAGGGAATGCAGCAGAGTTCATTGAGAAGCTCCACGACACTGACTGGGACCCAATGGCAAACCTCACGATCGACGAAAAGTACCAGTTTATCACGGATTGTATCAAAACAAGTGCACAAGAATGCTTCCCGACCAGCAAGAGGAAGTCTAACCGCAAGAACATCTACATCAATGGCCGAGCCCTACGACTCAAAAAGGAGAAAGAAAGACTCTGGACGGTATACTCTCAAACCCAGGATATCCTAGACTACAGCAGATTTACCCGCTGTAGAAACCAGTTGCGGGCCTTGACTAGGAAGCTGAGGAGGGACTTCGAGGAGGAACTGGTCAAAAACGTCAAAACCAACCCAAAGGTATTCTGGCGCTATTCAAATTCAAGACTCAAGACTAAGGCTGGACTGGACAATCTCGTAGATGGCTCCGGGAGCATCGTGTGCGATGACAGAGATAAGGCCCAATTACTCAACTCGTTCTTCAGCAGTGTTTTTACAGACGAGGACAGATCTCACATTCCGGAGCCAACCAACCAATTCACAGGCGAGCCAATCGAGACTGTTCCCATTACAACTGATGCGGTTCGGCTAAAACTTGCTCACCTGAAGACAGATGCCGCCCCTGGCCCGGATGGCTTGCACCCGAAGCTGCTACAACTTGGTGCTGCGGCTCTGGCTGGCCCACTGTCATCACTGTTCGCTGAATCTCTGGAACAAGGAAATGTCCCTTCAATATGGAAATCTGCGGCAGTGGTTCCGATCCACAAGAAGGGTAGCAGGAGTGCCCCAGAAAACTACCGACCAATCAGTTTGACGTCCATTCCATGCAAGATCATGGAGTCTCTGGTGCGTGACGCCCTCGTGGAGTTCCTCGTCTCCACTGGCCAGCTGTCCAAGCACCAGCACGGGTTCCGTCCCCGTAGATCCTGCAGCTCTCAACTCATGGAGGTTCTGGACGACTGGACCAAGATGCTCGAGCGGGGTGATCCCGTCGACGTGGCATACTTAGATTTCCGAAAAGCATTTGACTCTGTCCCACACAACCGACTTCTGAAAAAGTTGAGGTGTTCTGGGATATCTGGCAAACTTCTCAAGTGGATTGAGGCATTCCTTTCCGGACGCAATCAAAAAGTCGTTGTAAACGGAAGCCTTTCAGACTCATTGGCTGTCAGAAGCGGAGTTCCTCAAGGCTCGGTCCTGGGACCCCTCTTGTTTCTGTTGTTTGTCGACGATATCCCCTCTGTGGTAGACTGTTCTGTGAAAATGTTCGCATGCAAAGCTCTATCGGGACGTGTCAACGCTTTATGACAGTGACTCGAGCTCTGCAGCTGCTGAGGTTGTGGAACTGGCTGTCGCCCAACAAAGGGCTGGCAGGAACCATTCCACTCAACTTACCCAGCGCGCCCCTGAAGAGCGACGTCTGAACACGGTTGGAGCCCTGCCTGAGGATGAAGAGGGAGAGGTGGCTGTCTCTCATGTCAGAGATGTCAGATACCACTCTGCCCGACCATCGCCTATGCAGCAGGCGCGAGACCCGACGGCCGTAACGACACTTCAAGGCGATATTGATGCCCTGGTGGAATGGTCTGACCGATGGCAGCTCCCATTTAACGAGGGGAAGTGCAAGATCCTGCATCTGGGACGGAACAATCCTCGAATCAAGTACACCATGAGAGGGGTCGAACTAGAGGCGGTGGAAACAGAACGCGATCTTGGTGTCCACATTGACTCTTCGCTTAAATTTCGCAAGCAGGCTGCCACTGCTGCGGCGAAGGCCAACCAGATCCTGGCAGTCATTAAGCGTTCATTCGAGCTTATCGACGAGTTCACACTCCCACTGCTGTACAAGACTCTGGTACGCCCACACTTGGAGTTCGGAAATGTGGCATGGGGTCCGTTCAACCGCGCGGATCAACTCCTTATTGAAAAGGTCCAAAGGAGAGCAACACGCCTGGTGGCCTCGATTAGACACCTCCCCTATGAAGTACGAATGCAAACCCTAAAACTGCCTACACTGTCCTACCGTCGACGACGTGGAGATATGATCCAGATGTACCAGCTGTTCAATGGAGGGGTCGACCTGTCTCCGGAGGATTTCTTTTCGACTGCCACTGACGATCGTACCCGAGGCCACTCGCGCAAAGTCCAGAAGCCCAGAGCTGAAAGCCGACCAAGAAGGCAGTCGTTCGGACTCCCGGTAGTGAGAGCCCGGGTTCGAGACGCTCCGGCGCTCGATATTTGAGACTCCTGACGGGGATGGTCTGCGGTTGGTGGGAGCAGCCGCAGCCAGTTGAAGTCAGTTGAGTGGGACAGGCCGTGTCCGGCTTTGAAGGGCACGTTAAACTTTGGCATCTAAATTCTCCCGTTACCCAGAATTGCGCGATCGGACGGTAGGGGTCGGGGTCTACGCAACAAGCTCTGCTTAGTGGGCTCCGGCTCTGTCAATCCGTCCATTCAAAACGTTCGAGCTAAATTTATAAAAAAAAAGTGTGAGGGTTGTCAACGATTGGAATAGCTTGCCCTCGTCGGTCGTCGGAGCTGTCTCTGTCGAACAGTTCAAATCAAGACTGGACGCCCATTGGGCAAACATCAGGTATCTGATACCTGACAGGAGTTAGACAAGTCCCACATGTTACGAGCTCGATGAGAACGGTTCCCTACAGGCATAGCAGCCTCTAAATTCCGATCAAATTAAGGTAAGGTAAGGTAAGGTAAGGTCAATTGTCACAAGTTTGTTTTGTTGGGTTAGGCCTCTTTGGTCCATAAAGACAATTGCAGAGCTGGTAGGATGACAGGAATTAGGGGGAGAAATCGGTCTGAGCAAGCACCCTGGTGAGTCGCCGGGGCTGAGACCCGAGCGTGAGCTTATCCAATTTGAATTGGACAGGCTAACCAGCCCCCCAAGCCGAAGCACACAATGTACCAGGCTATGGGTGTGATTTCTTGGGAGCTGCGGTGCGCTCCAATGGGAGCCATCCATAAGGGTTAAGTTGCCTGTCCCAGTCCAGCCCGGTTCAAGGGGTTGCGGCGCGGAGGACTTGAATGTCCCGGGGATAGAAACAACCAAATGGTTTAGTTCAAGTTAGTAACGCGGTTCAGGTTGGAATGCAAGGAATTATGCATTGACCATGGCTTTGGGTATCTACCTATATTGAGAGAATATTGAGGCTCAAATGGGTAAGCCTCGTAGAATTGGAATGACTCGAACTTGCCTAAAAAAACTCCCATAAAAAACTGCCATCGCAATCGCAAAATATTGATATCCTCAGATCTCTTAAGTGTGAGGTACCTAGACCATATTTCGATGAATGATGAGAATTACTTTTCCGACATTCCTGTCACCATACACCGCGTTCCCCTAAGTCCTATTTCTGTTTTAAAACTCCGAACCACTTTGACTTGAATTCAAAATAAACGCCAACAGCAAATCATCGACAAAAACAGCGCGCAAGTCTCATTCATTAATATTCCTTCATTGAGGATAGGTCCTAAAAGTTTTGTGACGTCATGCTGACATGTGGTTTTGATTGGGTAATTTTTGTAGGTATGTGTCGTTCATGGTTTTCATTGGCTATATTTCAGTCGCAATCAATATGATGTTTTGGGTCCTAATTTCTGTGCATGCTAAATGCTTTTGTAAAAAATGATTTATTTCGGGGGCTTTTCGGTTTTTATTATTGTTGTCTGTGGACGGAAGCAGTACCTACATATGGAAGGCTGAATTAAATGTGTAAAAGGTAATTATGGTATAAGGCAAAGTATAAGGCAAGTTTGAGGCAAGGCACTATATTGAAGTCCAATAAAAAAATATAGGTGCATATAAACAAAAGATTTAGAAAGTTAAAGAGGATATGAGGTGAGGACCACGGGGAGTTCCACTTTCAGATGTTGACGTTTATTTCATTAATTGTGTCTTCGTCAAGACAAGCCAATTCAAATTATTTACCTCAACCTAGCGTTCAGAGTCTCGGACGACTATCTTGGAGTCTCTCGGATGACTATGTTCTATTGACCAGTTTTGTACAACATGCCACCTCTTAACCAGTTTTGATTCCTTTTAGATATTGATTTGATTCCTAATCATGCACCCCATACCAACTCATAGAGCGATAGTTTAAGTACAGTTTAAAAGAATAGGAGGAGCCGTTGCAAAGACAAATCCGCTAAACCATCATCATCATCATTGACAGCAAAAGGCTCAATAAATTGGGATGGGATTGGGGACCTCACTGTTGCCACCCATTGGCTTGGTAACTATATTGACACTCATTTTACTACCTAACCCTTGAGGCCTTGACATATCTTGTATGTTTTTACAGGGAACTAGAAGTGAAGATTGCAGATGCAGATTTGCAAAAGAAATCATTCACAATAAGCATACAAGTATACATTCCTACCCAGTAACTGCAAGTTGCTGCTAATCAGCTCAGTACCTCGTATCGTATCAGAACTGTGAGGCTCAGCCCCACTGCTGCTCGCCTCCGTCCCCTACACGGGCCGCCATGCTGCCGCGGTGTCGCCTGACGCGCCTGTGCCGGTTGGGACTGCGGCCGATGAGTGCTGCGGCCGCCCCAGAGCCGGCTCCGTCCGTGTTCCGGACGAGCGTCAGTGACCCACGCGAGCACAGCCGCAGCGACCTCGGACGTCTGTACACGGTGGACCGCGAGGATCACCGGAGACTGTTCCAGGTCAGCGTCTTTGGTGGACTGGGGTTCTGGAATGGTCGTGCTATTTGCTTTGTCCAGTTATCGAGTTCAGTTGTTGTGACATTTCAGCAGGTAGCCAACATAGCATTACTCAGTGACATTGCTAGAAGTTTGATGCTAGCTGAATCACCACCGAGTGTTAATAAGCATAAAAATTTGCATTTATCTATACACAGTTAAATGTACTTTCCTGTGAACAGATGGGTAAAACGAGATCTGATTAAGTAGTCGTCTTTATATCATCGTTTTCCCATCGTCTTATGTGACCCTGTCTATCGCCAGGTGACGGGTCTTCGGAAGTCTCTGTCCGCCCAAGCGCGCACCTTCTGTGAGCTGGCTCTGATGGTGCGGCAGCCGGCGCTGAACGTCCTCGACAGCCTGCGCGCCTCGGACCCGAGTCGGCCGTCGCTGCGCTTCCTGCTGTACGGACCATACGGCGGCGGAAAGAGCACCACGGTGGCGCACGTGCTGCACTGGGCGGCCGCCTCTGGCTGGCTGTTGGTACACTTTCCCGAGGCGGACCGCTGGGGGCTGCGGTTCCGCGAGGTGACGGCGTCGGCGTCCGACCCGCAGGCGGTCGATCACCCCGTGGATGCCGCGCTGTGGCTGGCGCACTTCCGCGCACAGAACGCCGCCCGACTGGCCGAGCTGGACCTGCGGACTGGCGAGACGTACACCTGGAGTCGCCGCGAGGCCACCGAGGCGGGCTCGCCGCTCACGGACCTGGTGGAGCTGGGTGTGACGCGAGGTAAGCACGCGTCCCAGTGTGTGCTGGCGCTGCTGGCCGAGCTGAAGGCGCACGCGTCGGCCGGCAGGTGCCGTCTTCTCATGGCCGTGGAGAAGGTGAACGCCTTCTGGTGCGACTCGACGGCGCGACGTGAGGACGGCTCCACGGTGAAGTTTGGCGATATGACGGTGATACGCGCCGCCGAGCAACTGCTGCGGCCCGACTGGAGCGGAGGTGCCGTGCTGACGACCATAGCGCCCGTGCGCGGCGGCCCGGAGGGCTCCCACCTGCCGCGACACCAGCTGGGCGCCGACGGCTGGCGCGCCCTCGAGCCGTTCGTACCCATACGTGTGGACGATATGAGCCGTGCAGAGACGTACACCATGATCGACTATTTTCTGGAGCGCCGCTGGCTCCAGGCGCCGGCCGCCGCCACCGAACGGGGTAAGCAGGAGCTCTTCTTCCGCAGTGGCGGCAACCCTGGGAAACTGGCAGAGATTTGCAGTATGTACTGAGGTCTGAGAGTCCGGTGTGCTGCCGAGTTTGGTCCCCGAGTGATGAATGACTAGACGATTTTTTGTTTTCTCTTTGGATGGGTATTTGCTGGTGTTACCGTTGTGGAGCAGGTGGCGGCACCTGTTCATGCGCTAGTCCGCTGACATGGTTCGTTGATCAAGCTCTACCGAAGCCTCCATCGACATTTGCAAATAGATTGTATGGCGCATAGTGACAGTGCGTGATTTTGTGCATGACTGTGCATTAGGTCGCGGATGACGTTCGCTAAGAAATTGAACACGGAAGGCAGAGTTCTTTGCAACAAATCACAATATGAAAGCGGTAAATACCCTTAGGAAAATCATTTGTACCCAGTACCCATGCTGGTCAGCGACAGATTGGTTGTTTGGTGGTGCTCTTGAGGCCAGGATATGCGAGTTCTTGCTTGTTGTGCTACTGAGTATGACTGTAATACGAATGAATGAATAGAAACGTCTGCGATTAATATCTGTGCCAGGCTTATCGATTGCTCTTGTACAGGAATAAATTGAATATTCGCTCTGTACATTGTAACAGCTGTTTGATATTGAACTTCTCAACGAATCGAATCGATAAATTTTTAATAGAAACACGACGAGATTCTCTATTGAGATTACAAGACAATAGGTGGGATTATGAAATAAAAATAGTATGATGGCGCTGGTCAAAATATGTTTCGGTTTTCCGTGCATTTCCCTGTGAGTAATGTGCAATAAGGGATATTTGGAAGGCTATCTCGCTTCTCCAGACGGGACGAGTGTCACCCATGCCTTCAGCATTTATTTCATGCGTGACACAATCTTCAGTACCACCCTCTCATCCCAGCGGAACTATTGCTCGAAAGCTCGACAGCTTTGCTAAGGCTCAAAATTGAAGCAGGTTTGTCTCCTTGTCTCCACATCACGGTAGCCGTGGAAAGGGAGGGTCGTATTTAGGGCCTTGGGGAGGGTATTCGACTATATACTCTGCTCGACCATATCCTTCCTTATCATATCCCTTTTCATCATAAAAGGCTGTATTCAGAAAGTGAGCAGTACCACTGTCACTGATGCCCTGCCATAGTGCACCAGTGAACTCATAGACAATACGTCGATAGATACAGGGTGACACAAAAAAAGCGGTCATCACCAAAATTCGAATAACTTCGGAAGTTTTATTCAGATCATCACCAAACTTCGGCCACTTTAGGTCACACCTATGTAGCAGACATCCACCAAGTTTCAAGTCTTCACTACGAATGCTTTTAAAAGGCAGTGTGTGTTTTACGGACGCTCCACAATGTGCTCCAGGTGAGCGCCCCGGCGCTGCAGGGCGTAGGCACACCTGCATCCGGCGGGCAAAGTTGCCGATAACCCGATAAAAATAACGTTTCAGGGGTAGCACACACCCTGAGCACTGTCTCCAGAGGCCATCGCACTCTGTAAAGTGCACAGCCATCGGGTTATCGACAACTTTGCCCGCCGGATGCAAGTGTGCTTACGCCCTGCAGCGCCGTGGCGCTCACCTGGAGCACATTGTGGAGCGTCAGTAAAACACACACTGTACTTAAAGTATTCGTAGTGAAGACTTGAAACTTGGTGGGTGTATGCTACATAGGTGTGACCTTAAGTGGCCGAAGTTTGGTGATGATCTGAATAAAACTTCCGAAGTTATTCGAAATTTGGTGATGACCGTTTTTTTTGTGTCACCCTGTATTTGTTTACGTTTTTCCCTTTGGAAGTGATAATAATGAATAAAAAGCAGCAATCACGGTGGAAGCTGGCGAAACCTCAAGCAGCGTCTCGTGTGCGGAGGAACGCACTCTGCGTACGAGCCATCAATGACTGGAACGCCCTTCCTCGTCATGTGGTCCTCGCTGAGACCCTAACCCAGTTCAAATCCCGACTCGACCAGCACTGGCAGACCATCCATTACTCAGTGCCAACCCAAGATTTAACCTAGTGTATCCAGAACCTACTCGACGAGATCGGGACCTTCAGGCGTTGTGCCTTTCTAATTTCTAAATCCCGATAAGTGTAGGTAAGGTAAGGTAAGGTAAGCAATTTTAATTTGCTACAACTGAGCATTTTTCAGTGAAATCCAACTCGCGCACCAGCTACAAAAGCAGCGCAAAAATCACGAAGAGCGTTTTTGTGCTTTTCACAGTCTAATTTTCGACCTTAGCAGCAAGCTTTAGTTGCTTATTGATATCAAAATATATAGGTATAAATTATTTATATATTTATAGTACAAAAGCTCTGGGCCGTCGGAGGCTGAGGTGATCACTGATAGGAAAGACAGGTATGGTATATTATTTCCCTCTTCGATATTTATGTTGGACTTATTTATGATTGTTTCGCAAGTACCTACCTTCACATGATAAATGACACTGTGACATTCATAAGCTCAAAATGAAAACCAAGCTAACTCATTTGTGGCCTTAGCCCTCAGCTTTTCCTTTTTACCTCAATATGATGTGCAGTGAAAATAATTGATGTGTATTATTAAGATTAAATGCAAATAATTACCAGTACAAATGTGTCTGTAGATCAGTTATGTTCCGAGCTTTCATCAACCTAACCAACTGCACTCAACAGTCAACAGTCCCCACATGGTCCCCAGATGCCAATCAGTCTCTAGCTGAGGCTTGATTGATGAGCATTTTTCCTTGTGGTACCCTGCCTGTTCCAAGGTAGAACAATTCATGAACATCCTGGGAGCTGTGCTCATGTCTTGTGCATATTGTTAGGGTTTGTTTGCTTTGTACTGCTTACCAACTTTTATAGAGCTAAATCTGATTAAAATTAATGTCTCTACTGTCTGGTCATCATGACCTAAAGACTAATTACTAATTTCTTAATTTACCATTAGAGATCTATCATCAGTAGTTCCACATGATGTTTATTGGCTTCCATTGTCACATTGCACATACCTAAATGAGTCTGTTCACAAAACCACTGTCCCTTTGATCTGTCCACTTTTCCTGTCCTATTATGTTCTATTTTGATTCCACTTATGCAGTAGGTATATTCTTAAATGCATTTTATTTAGAATGTTATGCTTCCACCACTAACAATTTCTCCTTTCTCAGGCTGAGAGGAGAGCTGTTGGTAGCAGTTCCCGAGTCATTCTGTTGAGTCAGCTGCGCGTCTCTCCTCGTGACCGCGCCCACCTTTCACCATGTGGCCGGTGCTAATGAACGTTCTGAGGACTTACGCACCCATCATCACGCTGCCCGCGGCGGCCGTGATCGGGTTCATCGGCTACAACCTGGAGAGTCTGTTCGACAGGAGCACACCAGCGCCCCTGGAGGGTATCAAAGACAGAAGAGAGGAGCGCAGGCTCGGTGACGGTGCAGCTCCCCCGGACGCGCTCAAGGACCGCTCGTTCGTGCCGCGAACCGTGTTCGAGAAGAACGTATCACCCACGCTGAAGCCGACCTGAGGCTGTCGAAGAGGTACGGTGGTCTGCCGGAACGGTGGATAATGCAGGTGGGCTGAGTACGTCATCGTGATACGTTACAGTCTGATGGTCGGGTATTTTTGGGGAGTTTTACTGTGCCTGATGGAGAGAGTTCAGTTGTGTGGAGTGTAGGAGTCACATGCTTTGCCGTTTTTGGTAGAGTTGAATGCCGCGCCGAACGTTTTCTTGTTAGGAAAATGCGTGCCTGATTCGTGTCTTTTCGTCTCCCAGCCGTTTACTCCACTTGGCTTAATGGGGACAGAGAGACAGTGCTGCATTAAATACAATTTTGTGAACAGGCTCATTGATGTGCAATGTGACAATGATAAGGAATAAATATTGTGTGTAACTGCTGATAGATCTCTGACAGTTGATGCTTAAATTAGTTATTTATCGTTAAGTAACCTTTGGGAGAGCACGCCTGGTCACCAGAGTCCGTATTTCACCCGCACTCTCATCAGATCGAAGTGGCTGGAAACTGTCCTTCAAGTATGAGTCAAATGTGAGGATCAGGACTGTGCATTGGTTAACACATTCACCATTTAGAGATGACAGTATTTATTTCGGCACATCTCCCTAAACATTTTACAAACACATAAATAGGTACCTAATAAACATTCCATATCAAACCAACACAAAACGTGCATGATAGAACCTAGCGGATATATCTGTCGCACTCTACCCATAACAGATGTGAGCGGTCTCAATACAGCACTATGTAAAGGGCCAACCATTCACACATATTTTCACAGTTGCTTAAAAGAGTGGGATGAATTATCGTTCATGCTCTCTCCTGAAAGGAAGCGCTCTCCTTGCTGGCTCGAATATGCTCCCTCGATGTCGCTCGAGAGGCTATTCGAGCATTGTCTAAATATTATCCAAATATTTGGACGGATTCTCGGAGTACAACACCCATCGTAGTTCACTTCTAGACCGCATTTGATATTGTTGACTTGCGTAAAGTCATGAGTGCAGTCATCATGTCGAATAGCTGACATGACATTACTGACATCAATTACATCAATAACATCAATTAGTGAGCACCGTAAAGAGTCCTAATTCACTGCAGTTATAGTGGCAGTACAGAATCTACCATCGCTAGATTCCTCGTACAATCCATTCATTATCGTCCTTCTGTTCACAGAGGAGCTTCGCACAGGTGTGTGACGCGTAATTTTGCCGCTCTCATGTTGTCTCGATCAAGCGCCGTGAAGGAAGGGTTCTGCAATCGGCTCGCTTGCGCACAGCCCTCGACTCGTTCTGATCGGGCAGTGAACACACACAGAATGAGCAGAACCTATCATCGGCAGACTGATATCCCGCCTGAGGCAGTTCCGATGGCAAGGGAGTGGGGATGGTCGGTGATACTTTTCCTAGGAGGCACAGACGATTTGGCTCAAATGTGCTAGTTGGCACCTGGGTCTATTAAATGTCTTCATAAGCATTGCTCTGGGCGCCAAAGCCAATAATCTCTCTCAGCCTTCAAGTGTGGAAAAACTAAAAGCTGCAGACTGTACCATACATCATTACGAGCTAACATCGTTCTTTGGTCATATCTGTGAGCTCATGGCTCGAAGCTTCCTCAATAACTTGACAAAATGACGCTTGTTCAACACACGCTGGGATGTCGAGCTCCACACGATAGCTGTCGAGACGACAGTGTTGTCCCAAGAACATGAATCCCAGCCCTGTCGCTCGGTCTCAGAGTATGTAGACGTTGGGATTGTCGCCTCTCATCGAGAGCTGCGCCTCGTGTAGAATGCGCAGTCGCGGCCCAATGGGCACTCCCAGTTTCTGGAGTCGTTCCTCAGTCATGTATGGCAGCTCCAGCATACCGATCCGTTCGCGTTCGAACAGCGGAGCGTATTTCTGCAGAGAAAACAACAGTGGCACAGGGTCAGTGCTCGGGAGATCATTAGTTGTTGCGTGGGGGTTGCTAAGCAATTGTCCTGGGTCGTGCTTAGCCGGAGTGCTAAGCCGGAAATGACTGATCATCATTGCATCATTTTCGGCATTGCTGTGGATAGCACGCAGCAGGGCTTGCTACTTATTCAACGAACATATCCTGAGTCAATTTAGCGCACAAAGTAACACCTGTTTCTCGACAATGTTGTCTCTTGTCTTTCTTGGTGACATGTGTAATCGCGCATCATTATCTCCCTCGATTCAGTGACGCACGGTACATGTTCCGCTTTCTTGTCACTCCTACACAAGCCTCACCTCGTATCCCAGCTGGTTGAGGAAGATCCGCAGCAGGGGCGGCTCGTCGCCGAAGAAGCGGGTCAGTTTCCGCACGCGCGGCGGATGTGTGAGAGATACACCGGCCGGTCGGAACGTTCCGAAATCTCCGCCGTGCCGGACACCGGGCCCCGAGCCCTGTCGGAGCTGGGCCAGCTCGGTCCGTATCGACTCCATCTCCTGGGGAGGCAGACGGAGTGGTGACCTTATTGGCGCACATTGGCGTTATGACGATATTGGGGTGGCGTTATACATATAATCATGTCCTTACTGGGGGAACGGTGATCGTGTGCATTGCGTGAACTTCAAATAGGCGTTAAAGATCCTATTATAACTAGAGTGATTCCAGGTTGAGGACTGAGGGTTAATGCTATTCGTTGGTGTTAATTTATGTTGCTTGCGTTTTCGCTTGTGATCCCAAGTTCTTTTTTGCCCTCCAGTTCACTTTCTTGCATTCTTAGTACGTTTCCGCCCGGCTCGCCCCTTCCAGTCCTTTGTAGCCCGTCAGCCGCGTGCGATACTGACCTGGAACATGAGGTGCTGTGTCCTCATCTCCGAGGACAGGTGCGCCACGCTCCTCGCCAGCGTCACCACGTGACTCTCCAGTCGCTGGAACCGCTTGTTGATCCCCTGCGAAGAGAGGAGGGCTCGATTCTTGATAACCACTGGGAGGTTGTTACAAAAGCTCTGATTGCGCCTTTTTCATGCATCCATCAGCATTTTGTTTACATTATGCCACTATATAGTTGAACACATGGGCGCCGCCACCGGGGGGGACGGGGGGGACGCGTCCCCCCACTCTCAGAATGGAAGGGGGACGTCCCCCCCAAACTCATTACGGAGCGAGCGAAGCGAGCGTAGTCTTTCGTAGGTTAACGGAAATTTCTGAGTATGCCGTGGTCACGCTTTTGCTAGGCTTATATCTCAGCAACCACTTGACCGATTTACATGCGGTAATTTTTGTAGGGTAGCACTAAATTCATTCCTTCTAACGAGCATCGGACTATTCCCGATGCATGTGAGTGACCCCATATGCACGTGCCACGTGAAAAACGAAGAGGTGTCAGTTTTGTAACAATTTCAATATCTCGGCAACTACTGGGCCGATTGCGCTGAAAGTTGGCATGTAGGTTGGTATACCCACTAGGCAATGCATATCCGTGTGCCACAGTTGGGGTGCTGCTGCACGTGCGCACATGCAGGGGTCGATTCCAGATCTCGAGAACGGCTGAACCGATTGTGCTGAAATCTGATACATGGTTAGATTGTGGTTAGAGACCGGTTAGTAGGGTGCCGTGCAAAAGTCAGTTGGGACCCATTTTGCACGTGCGCATTTGCAGGGTGCCGTTTCCAGATCTCGAGAACGGCTAGGCCGATTGCGCTCAAATTTGGCACATCGTTAGGGACCAGTTAGAAGGGTGCAGTGCATAAGTTAGTTGGAGGTATCCCCTCGCAATTTCGCACGTGCAAGGCCCACCCCACCCTCTCGCTCGCTCCGTTGGTCGCCCCAAAAGGCGTTTTACTTATTGTTATCCTACTCGAAATTTGATTAGGCCCTTCGGTCAAATGAGACCATTTCAGAGCCGCAAGTATGAAAGAATTGGTGGGAGACATTGGTCGGGCAGCCACCCCAGTGAGCCACTTGGGATGAACCCGACCAATTGAACAGGCAGCCCAGCCCACTGGCACTCATTGCACCCGGCAAAGGACTATAGCTCCAGTGGAGCCATTCCCGCATGGGATAGAGTTGCCCGTCCAGCCCGGAGCAGGGGGTTGCGGCGTGGAGGAGAAGGATTTGACTCTCCTGAGGATGGAAGAGATGGAACGGCCGGTGGCGAATCTAAGAGGGTCCAGGAGGTTTAGACACTCAGTATATGGGGTGTGGGCCTACATGCATTGGTCTGACCCCTGCCACCTCGGCCAACAAAATCTCCAGCTCTTATTCGACCTGTCATCGCGGAACTGCCGATTTTTGATATCGTGATCAACGTGTGTCGTATAACACGACTGGCCGAACACGGGCCTAATATATTTCGTCTAACCAGCCAAGAGCATGACTTTACACCAATCCGACCTCGAAGTCAAAATCCGAACATTTTCGAAGACTTCAACTCCGACTCTGGCCAAAACTGGCCAGTCGTGCCAAAAAAAAGTGTGCAGTCAACTCCGACTGATTCTGGCTCCGACCCCACACTTCTGCAGTCACGCTACACTAAATTAAATTTCCAGCTTCTAAGAAACAAGCTAATGCTATAGGTACGGTTGACAGGACCACAAAACTTTGAGGCGACTTGACTACTTGACTTGGTTTTCCTGACCTAAGGTTTTCTGGTATCAAGCTTGTTACACGGGCTGCAAAATTCGTATTTTGGAGCAGTTTTGCCTAATGTTTTTTGCCAATTTTCGCGGCGCTTCGCGCCGATTCGTGCACAGACCAAAAGAGAGATTTGTGACTATACAACGCCCCCTCCCCCACGCGGGTATGCAATATGTATTACCTATATGCAATATGCATTATCGATCATATTAGTGGCATACATCAGCAATTATACCGTGATAGAACACGAGGCTTTGCCGTGTCAAACTGAATCGGACATCAGATGTGTATATAGGTAGGTTCTTGGTGGGAATGCGGTCTATAGCCATTACTAACCTAAACTACTTTCCTCAAACCAGTTGTTTTGCCACAGTTTTATGAGTTTTTAAACTTAAAATGGTCAGGAAATTATAAATATTTGCAAAAGGATTTTTTACATCACTATTGTCCATCTTTCGTAGAGGCTACTTACTTACCTATATTGCAGGGGAAGCTGATTACGCGTTGACCAAGCATAGTACGTAGTTCAAACCAGCTGAATGCTGATTGGCTAGCATTTTTCCGTAAGGGAATGGAATCCTCGGTAAGAGAATGACAAAGTGTAATATATGGGAATGACTTCAGTCTTCAAACCTAAAATCGATACCGATATATTTGGCTAAGGGTGATCGTTGGCCGTTGGGCCATAAAAGCTCCTGATTTGTTCTCGTCTCAGCTCAAGCTACAAAACCGTTACTTCAGTTCAAAACCCTATGTTAAAAGTGGCATATTTGCTTTAAACGTTGAATGCATCCGACCGAAAAAGCCACGGTAAAAATGTCTACTTTTGGGTTTTCAGTCGGTCAGTCCGTCCCCCCCAGTCAAAAACCCGTGGCGGCGCCCCTGGTTGAACACAATCGTCTGATTTTTGCGGCCTCTCCGGAGCTGCTGAATCTAGAATCGCTTGGGAACTTGCATTAATTACTCGGATGCTCATGACTCTTGAATCCCTATGCGTGTTCCATCTCATTTTTTTTTTGCATCCCAGCGCCTCACTGTGCACCACTGACTCCACAGTACCGTCATCCTGACTCTCCTGGCGCTCCCCCTCTGGTCTGCATCCCCCAGTCTCACCCTGGAGTCCCTGGTCTGTTTCCGGTCTTCGCGGCGCCGGTCGCGGCTCGGCTTCCCCCCGATGGAGGAGGGGAGGGAGGACACGCTGCTGCCGGGACGCAGACGGCCGGCCGGCACCCTGGCGGTCGGCCGGCCCGGCTGAGCGCGCTTCTGACCGCCCAGCAGACGCAGAACCTGAGGGGAGCAGAACCCAGAGGTGGCGGTCACTTGGGGTTATGCAGCGATGCATTGGATAGGTCCACATGGCACATACAGCGTGGCAGCAGGGTTGAAGAGGAAACGTTTGTTGAACAGCTATATCAGCAGTCAACTGGCGGATGTTTTGTATCGCCCTATAGAGCGCTGCAACGCCAGAAGTGTCAGTTCAGTAATCAGTTCGGATGAACATACAAGCGTGAGGAGATGAGTCCTACTTGCCATTGACTGAAGGCTATACGTCTCCTGTCACATATTTTGACGTACGCCTACTCCATGCAATTACTTTCGAATTTCAGATTGTTCCTTCCCTCTGGTGAAGCGATAACTATGCTAGGAGTTCTACCAGTCGACCCTCACCTCCGAGTACATGGTCTCAAGGCTCTGCAGCTGCCGGCGCACGGTGGGACCGTCCACACCCGTCTCCAGCACGGTCGAGTCGTCCGTGCTCTGGTCCGAGGTTTGGTCCAGTGCCGACTCCAGGTCCAGCGAGGCCAGGTCACCGCCGCTGTCGTTGGCAGGACCCAGCACACCCAGCGAGCCTGGAACCGGCAGAGAGATGTCGAAAGACATATTTTGAAAATAATTTGACATACTCGTAAGTCGTAGGAAACGTTCATTAATCATGGATCACTTCCTGTTAATTATCCACGGTCATTTGATGGCAAGGCCGTTGTACTTACCGTTGAGCAAGAAGGATGCAAAACTGTTTATGAATACACGATTAATGTTTTAGCGATCTAGCAGCCATGCCTCACAACATATGTTCATGAGCATCGTAACAAAATCGTTCAAAGGAAGGGTATCCGGAGCGTCGGCCCGACGTTCCTCTGACGCCTACCAACTCGAGTGGTCGTCCTCTGTCGCGATCGCTCTCTGGGGTCGCCACGACCCATCGTCGGTGACTCCTTGGCGGCGCGCGTCACCCAGCTGCGGCTCTGGCCCTGGCTCTGTCGGCCCTGTCGGGGCGCCGAGCCGGAGCCGATCCGCCCGGTCAGCAGCGGCTGCCCCGGGGCGGCCGTGTCCTCCAGCAGGTCAGGCTGGTTGGGCCCGGCTGCAGACCGCTGACCGGCGCGGGTCCCTAGACGGGGAGTGCCGGCCGGGGAGTGCGGCGGGGAGCCGTCTGGTGCCGGGAGCGGAGGGGTGGACGACACTCCCGCCGGCGCAGAGGTCAGGTCAGGTCGCCGGGAGCCCGGGTCCAGGATCTGACGCAGCTCTGGCTCCGTATCAGCCCACTCCTGGTCGTTCCCTGCAGGAAATACAATGATGTGCAGTTGGAAAAGCATGTCATGATTGGCATGCATACAGGTTGTGGCGGAGCAGGCGCCAGGCATCTTTTCGCTTGTATAAATGTAAGTTATTCGTTCTAGAAGCTATTGTAATGACGCTGATGTGTTCGTCGGGAAACACATAAGCAAGAACTTTCTTGAAATGCTAACAATTAACATCTAGATGCTCATGACATGCCACCGAACATACTAGAACAGGAACATGTTTTATAAGCATTGCCTCTGGCACACGTCCACTGTTATGCCCGTTCTGTGCTGCGCCCTCGACTAACCTGTATTGTGCGCGCTGCGCTGGCCGCCCGGTTTGGCCCGGGCGCGTCCCTCCGAGTCCACACTGGTGTCCAGGAGCGCGGTGTGCCGGTGATCGGTGGACGGCTGACTGCGGGGCACCTCCCCCAGTCTGCTCCGGTCGGTCCCCGCAGCCTCCTGGTGCGGCCCGGACGAGACGGCCGGCCGCGCCGTCACTGTGGTGGTCGCCGCCCCGGCCGGTGGTGACGGCCTGCCGGGGCTGAACGGAGAGTCGACCGGTGGCCGGCCCTGGCTGCCCTGTCGGCTCAGGTAGTGACCGGGCGGCGGCAGGCGCGTGCCGTAGGCCGGCGGAGGAGGCCGCGGCTGGCCGGCCGCCGGCGCCGCCGCTCGCAGCGGCTGAGGGGCATACCCTGCCGGCCGCACCGGCGGCGAGCCGGCTGGGAACGCCGCTGGAGGGCGCTGCGGTCGCGGGTCGCCGGGTCGTGGGGTGTGTGGCGGCACGCTGTAGGTGCCGCCGCTGGTCGGAGCGGCTGCCGAGGTGTGTGGGTATTCGGCCTGCTCGTGATAGCCGTGAGGGTGGTACTCGCGGCCGGTGGGCGGGTAACCGCCGTACGGCTGCTCGCCGGCTGGGGAACCGTTGGCCAGCGGCCGCTGCGCCACGCTCAGCCCACTCGGTGCTACACTCAGCCCACTCGGCGCCACACTTAGAGCACAGGGAGCCACACTTAGAGCACTAGGAGCCGTGCTGAGCGTGCTGGGTACGGAGCTATACCGAGCACCCAGCGAGGCGACCCGTCCTCGCGTCTGTCCCTCAGCCGCCCACAGCTGCCGCTCAGCGGCTGCTGCGGACACCTCCTCCGCAGCTAGCGAGCGCACACTGCTGCGGAGAGGAGCGCCGCGCGCAGCCGCCACTCCCGCTGCGGAGGAGGCGGGCGGAGCACCGTGCTCCCCGCCGTGTTCCGGAGCGGCCGACAGCGGCATAGAGCGGCCGTCCGAGTCGCCTGAGCGGCTGAACCTGTTGGAGAACATGTCCCTGAGGTGGTGGTACTTCTTGGCGAGCCGGCCGTTGGCGGCGGTGGGGTCAGGCGCTCCGCTGCCGCTCGAGGTGGGGGCGGGTGGCGAGTTGACGGCGCCGGTGCCCCCGTGCCACCCTTCCGGAGCTGACAGTCTCTGAAGAGGAGATATGGAACGTCATTAGATACAACCTCAAGTGAGAGAAACTCATAAGCGGAACTATGTGACGCCGGCGCTCGACGCTCCTAGCATTTCATCCAAAGGACATTCAATGCCGAGTGGCAGCGTACCGACTGGAGGCTCATCAGTAAATGCTAAATTGGTAATTAGCGCCTCTGGCACAAATTAAAACGGATTCGTTACGCCTTGTTTATGGCGACGATTTCTATTTGTTGGACCATAACAATGGCTAGTATTTTTCGTCCCCCAAAATCATTCGATACGTGGGACATTTATTTCAGTTACAGGGCATTCATTCAAGTTTGCCCATAAAAACCCTCGTTAACATGCCAAGTAACCGCTAGATTCGACATCGTCAACCAACCTCGAGCGCGTAATTGGTCAACTTTTAATTTTACGTTTAATTCCTCCCTCGCCCAGCTCAGATTCCAACTCTGAAGGTCCTCATTCCTCACAAAGATGGAATGCGGCTCTAATCATGAACGGTACGTGGCATTCCTCGATAATTTGCCACTCCATTAAGGCCACTTTTCGTGTAGATCATGAGTGCTCTCTGGCTCTCGGATCCGTCGCCTGAAGCGTTCGTACGAATGATCTCACGCGTTCCGTCTGTCACGCGATTTATCTAATCTGAAAGGATCTCTGAGCAGTTTCTGAGTGCGACTGACTCCGAACTGAAAGCCAAGGCCTTCGGCTGCTGAAAGCGCACTCGAACCGTCGCATGGCTGCGCCGAGACAGGTTTGGTGCGTTTCTGTGCATCGGAAGCATGAATGAATCCATGCATGGCCTTTGGTAAGCGCCATTTCAGCGACCGTTTTTAGTTTCAGATAGCGGTTCACCAAAGGACGTTGAACGTTCATCAGCGGCAGTATGAGAACAAGTCACACCAATCTGAACCTACTCCGTTGCTTTCCCCACGCTCAGCACGACCCCCAGTGAGTCACATTGCTTATCCTTCCTGCACCGGTCCGTGCTATGGTGATGTCAGCCCAGAGACAATAACTGTGTACTCCGCTAGATTGTAACGGAATAACTGACCGGGTCTCGGGTAACGACGGCGCCGTGATTGGATTTTAAACAAGCCACCATGAACCCACTTCATTTTTACTTGGTTTCATATTCAAAAGCAACGATGAGAGTTAGCAACTCGTGAGCCTTTCCATCACATCCCCACCAGCTGTGTCGGGGTCGAGGTCACGACCTGTGACCCTGCTTACCGTGACCTGAGTGGAGACGGCGTTGAGCCGACCGGCCAGCTCGGTCAGCACTGGCTCGCTGCCGGAGAGAGGGTGCTCGCCGCGTCCGGTCGCGTCCGTGGGTCCCTCGGCGAGCTGGCGGGGCACCGGTACCGACTTGTAGACGCTCAGCTCACACTCTGAAACCGGGCAGCACACTATCAGCACCTGGGCAGCACACTGTCAGCGCCCGGGCAGCACAGTACAATGTCAGCGCCCGAGCAGCACACTGTCAGCGCCCGAGCAGCACACTGTCAGCACCCGAGCAGCACACTGTCAGCGCCCGAGCAGCACACTGTCAGCGCCTGGACAGCACACTGTCAGCACCTGGGCAGCACACTGTCAGCGCCCGAGCAGCACACTGTCAGCGCTCTGTCCGGCGCTGCCACGCGAGCCGGCGGCTCGTGCAGGGCGGCTGGTTTTTCGCACATCGGAGGCCCGCCCGTGCCGGTCGTCACGTGAGTCGGTAAGGAAAATGGGATGCTATCGGCAAGCTTCATCCTTAGTTTGAAAGGCCGTGTGTACTGCATGCGGTGCATACAATCAAACAATGGGTGGATGTGAATATAATGGATCTGGGACGCCAAACACGGGCGGCGCTTCCCAAAACCGCACCCTATGATGATGTTGAAACTGGAACGGGTGCTGCTCGTTAGGGAAATTCTGATGCCACTGTATTGGTGTGCTACGTGTCGTCCACCCGCACAGTTTTACGGCGAAAGTTAATTATTTTCTGTGCCAGCATAATGCCTTTATGTTGACACACATTTTCGAAAGTCGAAACTGTTACAAGTGTCATCGCCACCTCATTGTCAACCCGTCATGAATGTCAACCTCTAACATCCTCATTACCGTCTGGACAGCATTCAAAACAAACGCCCCGCAGTTTTTGCCCGGGAAATTGTCATACCCTCGGCGCCGTCTCGGCCAAGACCGCCGCAGCCGCCACTCAGAGCCAGAGGCGCCCCATTGCGGCGACTCCGCCCGCGGCCGGGTCACTCGTGTGAGCGCCCGAACTGAGATGACTCTGACTCTGATGACTCTGCGGGCGTCGGCCGGCTGTTTGCGGCGTCCCGGAGTCACGTGAGCCGACAGCTGTGAAATCGGTAACGACGGGCCGTCGACATTCCACGCCGGAGGTGCGTGACACATTGAGTGACTCCGACGCGGCCCTTGGACCCCGGGCTCGGCCCGTCTGAATGGGAGACCGTCCGTCATGCCTGTCCCGTCTCAATGACAGAACGACTGGCATGCCGCACCTGTCAATGGCAGATTGTATGCCGCTGCGCATCTGTCATAATGACAGTTCGCTCGGTTCGCCACAACATGTCTCCAAGATTGAAACCATTCTGAAGATACTCCAGCGCGGAATGCGGAGCCGAATGCGTGGCGATACACAGTGCCAGTGGCATTGTGGAGGCCGTATTGCGGGTAGCTCGACGCATGCAAATGTGTCGTGGTTGGATAGGTATGCTAGCTAGACAGGCTACGGGACACATGCAATGGAATGTCCATCTCTGATTATATAAAAATATGCACATTCATGTCAGCACACTGCGTGGCCTAGCCCGGGACAGCTAATTCGAACCTTGAAATCTGCCATTGTCCGTTGATGAACATGACATGCAGCCTTACGAGTTACTTCTGCATTTTAAGAACAAAACACCATCGGCCAGATTGCATGACACTCAGACTTGTCACCACCAAAGTTTGCCACCTTCTCGAAATCCCACAGTAAAATCACGAGACGGTGTTTCACGCAACGGGCTCGACTAATGAGGCCTGTCGATTCCAGAAACTATCGGAGTTTTCGGCTGTTTTACTGACATTCCGAAGCGCACCTCCAGAGCGAACACTTGTATACCACCCATGGTTTATCGACCATAAAACTGACGTTTGAAAAGGAGCAATTCACTTCGGAATCGGGTGGCGTCTCGCCCTGTTTCCCGAGCCCTGGAAGCTGTAGCAGGCCCGTTTCTGAATCAAAAGACTCGATAGATCCCTCGAATGACTGGCAATTTGGTTATATTTTGTTCGGACGGCTGGAGGCCGGTTGAATTGTGTCCCATTGGAAGACGATAGGTAAAGCCATTAGACAAGTGGCGTTTTCAGGCTAGCGACCGAGAGGCAGCGCATGCCACGCACTAGGTGCGCAATGTAGGTACTATGTTGTATATAATGTAAATTAATAAGCCTCATGTCTCACCCTGAGAAATAAAGCAATTACGGAGTCTGCATGGTCATATATGTCAGGTGGGAGCTCACCTTATCATATTACCTACAATATGGAGTTAACTTAAAGGGACCCTCCCACCTTAACATTAGGGGAGATCCGTGTAAGACGCCCAGGGTCGGTAAGAGGCCCCATCGCTTTTTTTACCAAACCAATAATGTTATTTATTTTTTAATGTTCTTGTAAAGCAGAAGCCCTCTTGAAACAATAACTCACGAAACCTGAGGTATCAGGTGCGTCGCAGCGACTTTTGGTAAGCCTGTTTCTGTTTTTGCCCCTTTACTTGCTAGATATATGCATCTTTATCACCCTTATATATCTGAAAAAACAATGACTATCAAATGCAATCTTATCTCATCGAAATTGTCACATGTTAGCTTCAGAATAGACCATGTTCTGGTGCGCTGCAAATGTCTCATAAACCATAAATATTGTGACGTTAAAACACTGCATTTTTTTAAGAGGCCCTCCCTTCGAGGATTATAAAACGCCCCCCCGATAAAAACGCCCCCGATGCTAAAACGCCTGCACCTGCGGCAGGCGTGGCATTCTTTTTCCAAGGAGTTTGTTTTTGTTTCTTTTTTTCTGCTTCTTTTTCTAGAGGTAATAGGTACAATTTTCGTTGGTCATCAGCGTTTGGTTGTGCTAGTTTTCGCATTGTTCGAGCGCTTTGGAAGTGTTATTGGTTTCGATAACACCGTATTTGCTTAGCTTTTCGAAATAAAAGGCCTTGCAGCTGTGTTCGCAAAACGTCTTTTACAAGTCGACTTGCCTTGTTAAACGCCCGAGGGGGGGGGGGCGTCTTACCATACCCATAGTGTAAGAGGCCCTTTTGCAACTTTTTCCAAAATGTTAAAGTTTACGGTTTGTGTACCCCCTAGATTCATTTTGAATGCAAATATGTATGGGAAAATGATGCATGCTCACAGCGCATGCACACGTTAGCTCTTAAATATTATCAGTTGTCTAAAAATAGCAACTGAGCTTAAGGGGGGGCCTCCTGCACCACTCTCCCCTAGTTTTGAGTTGAGATAGCCAAGTTTGCGGCCAGGCTCAGAAACCACCATTTATCCTGGTCGCAACCCCCGCAGCTTTATGGTGTTCAAGAAATTTCTTCCCTTTACTTGCAGGGTGGGACCAGCGTGGTCCCTATCTCTTAACCATTACGGGAATCTGATGACGTCATCAGGCTTTCGAACGTCCGTTAAATGTTTGACTAAAACGTTTTGCAGCACGCGGTGGTATATGCTGCTTTGCGCGCAACAAATGCCGCACTTTCAAATAAAGTCGCTAGGAACAGCGGAGATCCCAAAAAGTAAACAAAAGTAAAAGTCTAATATCTTGAAAACCGGTGAATATTTTTCGATGAAATTTGGTAGATATTCGTTTTTGCTCTTTCTGAACCGAGCGACATCACTTTCATGCCAATTCATTAACTTTTTCGAAGGTGGGAGGGTCCCTTTAAAGGAACTACCCACATTCTAAAATGTTGTTAAAACCAGTTAAATTGTGCCCGACTTTATAGATTGGATGACCAGGAACACGGTTCTAGCATTTATTTTTCATTTAACATCTTAGGCTTCCCATATTCCAAACACAAACTTTCAAATATGTGACGTCACAGCCCAAAATTACCTCCTTCCCCAGGCCACATTACTGTCATAAAGCTGATTCTTTTTACTCTGTAGGCACCACAACAAAGTTCAGACCAAGTTTTAAGCGATTTTTCAACGAACAAACCCATTTAAATCAGAATGACTAAACGAGGTGACGTCACACTAACGGTCGCTCCATGTTGAAGATAGGGCCTTGCGCAAGGCCCATTTTCAAATGAAGGGAACGAATTTCTTCAACACCAAGAGGCCGCGGGGGATGCAACCTAGATAGATAGTTGTTTTTGAACCTCGCCGCAAACTTGGCTATCTCAACTCAAACCCCATGTTAAAGGTGGGATAGTCCCTTTAATTGCATTCGTAACTTTATGCACTTCTCAACAAAGCCGCAACTGACATGCAAAAGCTAAATTTTCATTTTCGGACGCCCGTGGAATATCAGGAAATTAACGTGTGACATGCCCAAAACCAGTGAGAAGATGGAGTACCCTCAGCCCTCAGGCTAGGCAAGTGCAATGGCTTCATTATACATAAACAATTGGTTTCCTATCGTTACTTTTCCATTCAACACCTTAGAAGTCACATCCTGGCCCTAACTATCAATAGATGGGTTTGGTAGGTAATCATGATGTAGTAGGTCCACCTTCAATACGCCCTAATGCAAGCATTCTTAGCAAGGAGTTCGTGCGAACTTGAAGCGAAAAGAAAAGAAAGAAATTTGGAGCACGAGGTCCGTGTGAACTTGACAAGCAGGAAAACGAAAGTTTGTATGTGGAAAGGCCATGCTAACTTGAAGCTCACTGGAATGTAAAATTGGCTAAAACCCGCAGTCCTTCCTGTTTGCCTGCCACTCACAAACCGCTAGTCTGATCCGCTAAAGCAGTTATTATTTGGCATCGAGTGGCTTCCTCCTTCCTTGTTTGCGTTTTCGAATAAAAAATGGTGTTAACGGTTACGTATTCCAATCATATTCCTCTCTTTTGATGTAGATCATCTCCGATTGTATAATTTCATTAGACATTATCGAGTAACAATATCAAATAGTCTACACAATGCTTAGTACCTACCTACTGCATTTTATCAAATGTTGACATTTTTGCCTTAAATGTCCTTCGCCAAAAGTCTCCAGTCTACCCATATTCGGGTTAGTTCTTCGATCTGCCATATGAGCTAAATATCTCGTTACATATGGCCCACATTGGGGGCTATTCGTATCCTCGCGGGCCCGTTTCTTGGAACCCGCCATGTATATATATGTAGTTTATTTGGAGAGGTGAACGATACACGGCATATC